AAAACTATATCAGGAAGCCATTTTTTGTTATTTCAGGAAATCTAAGAAAACGTTCTTTTAGGTTAGGGACATCTCACCAAGCAAGCACCCTTTGGGGCCAATCTTGACCAAATGCAGAAGCCATTCTGGAAGCACTTCTGTGGCACAAGCTTTTGTGCCCCTGGCAACTTAACCGGTGCAGAGTTAGAAAAAAAGAGGAGGGAAGGCCAAAACGCGGAAACTTGGGTTCCCTACGAGGGGCTACAGTCCCTGTGGTCACCCTGTTTAGGCATCAAGCTAATGCTTCCGTATAGTTAGCCAGCTTTCACCAGCAGCTGAAAACGACTTACATCAAGTCACCAGAATGGTAGGACTAAGCCATTCTAACGCACAAGCAAGCACTGTGTCTCTGTCCACTCGAGAGACACGAGACTTGTGCTTTCCTGGCGTGTTTCAAACACCCACACCCAAGCAGCTGGCCCCCACCTGTGGGTGCTACCACCCCTTCCCAGCCAACCTCAGGCCAGTTTCTACACTGCCAGAACTTTCTTCTTTGTTGCCCCAACTTGGAATCTGCCACTTAGGAGAGGGTTGCTCCTGGGGAGAGAATGGAACTGGATCACTCTTAGCCAAACGTGAGAAGGATGGCAAGGAATCGCCTTTCATCCCGGTACCGGGACCAGTCCGCGGAAGGTTTTGTTCAGTACAGACAGCCTCGTGGTCTTGGTGCTCTCTGGATCTCAGCTTGCAAAGCAAAGTCACGTGGGTCACAGTTGTTTGCATTTGTACTGGCAAGACGAAATATTTTTATTACCTTTTCTATTACTTATTGTATGAGCTTTTGTTGTTTACTTGGAAGTTGTGTCTTTTACTACAAGTTTGGAACTATTTATTATTGCTTGGTATTTGTGCTCCGTTTAAGAAACGGGCACTTTTTTTTTTTTTTTATTATTATGGATAAAATGTTGAGATGACAGAAGATCATTTCAATATGGCTTTAGTAAAATATTTATTGTTCCTTGAATTCTCTGTACAAGATTTTGGGCCTCTTTTTTTGTTTTGTTTTGTTTTGTTTTTTAAACCCCTTAATGTCACAATGTTGAGTTCAGCATGTGTCTGCCATTTCATTTGTACGCTTGTTCAAAACCGAGTTTGTTCTGGTTTCAAGTTATAAAAATAAATTGGACATTTAACTTGATCTCCAAACCTTGTTCCTTTCTGTGTCTTTAAAGGGTAGGAGAGAGACAGCTTATTCCCAAGGGCCAATATATGGACTCTTACCATTTTCCTTCTGGCCTGCACGCACTCTGGACTCCCAGGTAGTCCATACCTGGGACGCGAGGGAAGACTTAAAACCAGTGATACCTATAGTTTGCTGACGCGGTGTGCTTTAGAACACTGGCGCTCACCCGCGGTTCCCCATGGAAATCGCTTGGGAACTTAGAGAATTCCCAGCATCAACCCAAAGCAATTCCATCAGAATCTGGAAATGGGGTGTGGGCCTCTCTGTAGCCTTCAAAGTGAGCCACGTGATTCTTATCCACAGTCAGATTTGAGGAAACGTGGTTTAGAAGAAAAAAAAAAAAAAAAACATTTTGCTGGGAATCATGAGACTTGGGTCTGGGTGATTTGCACTGATGTTGATTAGTGCTGTCGAGGTGGTTCCGACTCATAGCGACCCTGTCTAGGGTTTCTGAGGAGCAAGCAGCTGGTGCATTGGAACCGCTGACCTTACAGTTCAAACCGACCTTGTGGCCCAGTGCTTATCCTACAGCGCCACACCAGGAGTCTACTTATTGTTGTTACGTGCCTTGGAGTCGCTTGCGACTCAGAGACCCTGTATAGGGTGTCCGAGGAGCGGCTGGTGAGCTTGAAGCGCCGATCTTGCAGCTCAAACCGACCTTGCAGTCCAACTCACAGCGCCACATCAGGACACCACTAGCGTTTCCTAACTGCCAGTGAGCGGGGTGGGGGGGCAAAATGAGGAAGATGGAGACCCTGCCCCCAAGGGTCTTAATAGATCTGCTCCTTGAACCTGAATTTGTTGTTGTTAAGTTTTTTAATTTCCTCATGTAAAAATGGCAATCTAATGACCACCCATGACTTAACAAACTCTCACAGGAGGACATGGCTCCTTCCCTGTGCGAACAAGAGTTGAGGACACTTTCTTTGGGGATAACATCACAAGTCCAGTAGAGGAAGCCAGATCTTCCAGAATGGAGTAGCCCGTGAGTTAGCTGGGATCTAGCCACTTAGGGAAACAGGACCTTTGGTTATCTATGCCTGAGTCACAAGGGGTCAGTGGCCCACAGAGTCCTTGGCCATTCTAGGTCATGTGACCCTTAAAGGGACAAATCCAGTAAACTCCAAACCCACCTGGACTCTCTTCCTGGCGCACCGACCATGAACTAGGTACCTAGCTAGGCAGCTGGAGGGGCTCTGCAGAATCTCACACACAAAATGAAAACATGCTTCCTGCTCAGGCGTGTTGTCGGTTCTGCTCGCTGACAGGGATGAGAAGAAAAACAAGGGGAATGTGTTCTTCTATGCCCTTTTCTTTATACTTCTCCCATGACCACGCGGAGCAAGACGCAAGGGGTTTGAACATACTAAAAACCGAGTTGGAAACCATTTAGGAGAAGGCCTGCCCTTCTGCCTTTCCCAGGGGGAGTGAGGAATTAACACTGCCAGAGGAAATTCCCTTCTTTTCCTTCAGTTCTGAGCTTGTCTCTCTCCCCAGGTGACTTTTAAAGCACAGATGTTTCAGTCTTTCTGTTTCTTCCCTGTACAGAAAGCCTGTGGAGACAGGAGATCTGAGATGTGCGCTTTCTTGGAGTCCACAGGGAGGGCTTGTTTTGGGCCACTCCATTTTGGTGTTGGTGAGCAAACACCTGAATGGAGTACCAAAAATTGCTCCAGGTGAGTGTGTGAAGGCTCTTGTGGCTGCTGTGGCTCACATACCCCGCGTTTCCTTCAGTCCTTCTAAGAAGGCCACAAGCAAGCACTGCGTCTTGGGGAGCAATTACAAAAACAGAAGGCTCTCCGGCTACAGACTCAATTCCAGCTGTCCAGGACCCCCCAGGACCCTACAGGACAGAGCGGCCATGCTCCATAGGGTGGCCGAGGCAGTAAATCTTAATAGGAGCACATCACCTCATCTTTCTCCCACGGAGCAGCTGGTGGGTTTGAACATCTGATCTTTGAGTTCACAGCCCAACACTTACCCACTACACTACCAGGGCTCCTTTGTGGCAATTCACAGGCTCAACTCAGCTTTAACCTTCACTCCATTGGTAAGTAGCTTTGTGCCGAGGGTTTAGTCCTGCCCCCTTTCTGAGCCTCACTTTCTTTACTTGTAAACTGAGTAATGAAATGGAAGGTGACTCGGAAGAATCCATTCTGCTTCCAAATGTTAGGTGCCTCATAGTGACCCTATGCACAACAGACCAAAACACTGCCCAGTCCTGTGCCAGCCTCACAATTGTTGGATGAACATGTTAGCTTTCCGATGACAAAAATTAGAGTGAGCACATCATTTCTTAAGAACCGAAAAGCATGATCATTGTTGATTGTGACTTGGTCTTTTCAGTCACCTGACAAGTCACTGTCCTCATACCTTCTAAGCCTGGGCATCGGAGCAGGCTGTTGAATGCCTCACGCTTGTGCTCTGGGCCTAGCAACTAAAACTAGAAAACATTTCTTTCAGCTTTAGAGATAAAACTATGTATAGAACTTGTTTTTGTTTTCTTTTTTTAAATGTTGAGGTTAATGATGCTCGTATAACTTTGAAGCAATGCAGGATGAAAATTCTGACTTTCATGTGCTTAGGTGAGGCCTTTGTAACTAATTGTCTATCCTGCATAATTTACAAACCACTTAGAGCATCCCAGGTACAAACCATCTAGGATGCTCTAAAGAAGTCAAAATAGGCTGAGCTTGAAAATCTGTTTAATTCCCAAGACAAAGGCTGAGCTGGTTGTCAGGGGCATACAGGGAACATTCTGGCTTGGTCTTCACCCTTCAGGTGCTCCCTGCTCAATGAGAGAGGTACATTATTAAACAGGACTGCTTCATGTAATGCAGACAGTGAGAGGAACGAGGGAGACGGAACAACTAATCAGGCCTAGAAAGGAAGGATTTAGGAAATTGTGCTACTCCTTGAAAGATAAGTAAGGATTGGCCAGGCAGATGAAAACAGGTGAGGGAACAATGGCAGATTTTATAGAGGGTCTGACATGAGCAAATGCACGAGAGCTGGAAATATGTAATCAATCCCATGGAGATGCAAGAACAATCTCATCTAGCATAGACATTGTTTGCCAAACTCTGAAGTATAGCACATTGACTCATCCCTCCATCCATTCTTCCATCCTCCCACCCACCTGTCCGTCCACCCATCCATCCATCCATCCATCCACCCAT